AGGATCTCAGTCGCCCTCGGTCTCCCGGAGGATCATTTCTGACGACAACGACGAGGAGGAGGAGGGGGAGGAGGAGGAGGAGGAGGAGGAGGAGGGGAAGATGATGGTGGGGGCAACGCAGGGGTTTGGCCTTGCTCTTGGCCAGGAAGCTGTCCAAGGGTACGGCAACGGTGCTGGTGCCGGCGACGGTGCCGCCGCTGTGGTTGTCCGTACTGGGTCCCTTCTGGGGGACATCCGGGAGGTCGGGGAGGACGGCGACGATGAGGAGAAGGCTGGCGGTGGCAGTGGCGGAGAGTTGCTCATGTCGACTTCCGCACCTGCCAGCTTTCGATTGCATACGAGTGGCCGCCGCGCCACGGCGGCGGCGGCGGCGGCAGCGCGGCCGGAGCAGCCCGCCGTTGCGAAGCTCGAGGCCTTGGAAGAGGAAGAAGAGCATGAGGAGGACGGGTGGCCGGGACCGAGCGGTAGTGGTGGCGGTGGCGGCGGCGGTGGCGGTGCCGGCGGTGAGGAGAGGGACGAACTTGCCGTGGATATCCCCGGCTTGCGCAGCGATGCCGCAACTACCGCCTCCGGCCCCGTACGGATTCCCACCTCCCCCTCTCCTCCTCCTGGCCTCGCGGTCTTCCCGTCGTCACCGGACGCCACCGCATCCGACCTGTACTGCACCCACTCCGAGACCTGGGGCCCCGCCGTCGACGCTGACGCGGACCCCGACATGGACCCCAGGGCCGCCCTCACGGGCTCCCTACCCTCGACCTACTTGCTCCAAGCAGCCGCAGCAGCAGCAGCAGCAGCAGCCACAGCCACGGCGACCGAAGACACTGCCACGATGCGCGGCGGCGGTGAAACTCCGGCAGAGGCCGCCGCCGGCAGTGGCGTTCTCGAGCGGGGAGCCGATGCCGGGGCTGAAGGTGGGGCCGGGGCCGAGGGGCGGCTTTCCGATCCCGGCGGGTCGGCGGCGGCGGCGGCGGCGGCGGCTCGGCGGCCCCGTCGCTCCGCTTTGCGGTTCCGCGGCCCGACATCGGTTTCGAGTCTTGCGGCCGGAGCTGCAGCGGTCTCCGCCAGGTAGGGGGGAGTGAGGGAGCTTTCAGACTGAGGGGCGGGAAAGCGTAGTCGTGTGCATTTGTGTATGTATGTACGTATGTATGTATGCATGCTTGAGTGTGATACGTAAGCATGTTGAAGTCTTGTCCCGGGTCGATCAGCCCTACAACCCCCTCCCCCCTTCCCGCGCTACCTTGCCCTATATGTGTGTGTGCTTGTGTTTCTCCCCCCTCCCCCGCCAGGCGCCCCCGTGCACCCCTAGCCAGGATGAGCCCCTCCTTCGCCATCGGAGTGGGCGTGGAGGGGGAGGTGCACCGGCCCGGTGGGTTGATGAGTGCTGCAGCAGGGCTGAGTACTTGCATGCAGGGGTGGGGTGCGAAGGAAGTCACAACATGCAGCAAAACGTTACCGAAGACAACTACAAATAGTAGTAGTCCGGCAATGAAATAGTGGTAGCAATAGCTGGAGGGGTTATTTGACAAGACGTTGGCCAGGGGGTAGGGAAGGAAAGACGCCAGCGCGAATAGGAGCAGCAGCAGCAGCAGCAGGGGGAGGTAGCAGGGCTGTTGTTCGGAAGATGTGCGAGGGCACGCGAGGGCAGTTGCAAAGGCCACAGGAACACAATTCTGCGGCGGCGCGCCCCGTTTTTCATCATTTAAGCGGGGATCGGGGTGGGTGGATGTAAGCGAGAGAGAAGGTGGCGGGAAGCTGCCACCTCCGGGCGTGTGAAGGGAGTTACCCCATAGAAATTACCAGATTAGTACGGACTAGCCGTACTGGCAGGTTGGGCCGCCACCCTGGTCCGAGCCCTACAAAGCGGTGTCATTCGAACACCTAACTAAGCAGCAAGTGGGCCACATGCCACACCATCTCCCTCGCATCCACCCCGCACCCTGGCACCGCATCACATGTGTCCCCACTCGGACCCCAACGTACGGCTATCCTGCGCGGCCACCCCGGAGCGGGCTTAGTTGCGCTGACGTGGGACTGGTGCCACCTGCGCTCTATTCAGGCACCGTCGGCCTCACCCGCCACCTCAGCCTGGGCAGGGAGATGGCGGACTCCGCGGCCGCCGCCGCCGCCGCCGCTTCTGCCGCCGCCTCCTCCCCCCCCGACAACGCCCCGGGGACTCCGTGGCGCCTGGGAAGGCAGCCCAGCAGCAGATGGTTCTGCGTCGCCGCCACTGATGCCGTACATTACCAGCGGCTGCGGCATCGACAGCAGTTACTGCAGCACGGGTTACCGGGAGGAGGGGAAGGAGGAGGGAGGATGATGGCCGTGGCGGCTGGCGGAGGCGCCACGGCTCCAACAACTGCGGCGGCGGCGGCGGCGGCGGGACGCAGCGTGTCGGGACGGCGAGTGGGGGCGGCGGCGGGGATGGCAGATGCGGCGGCGGCAGCTACAGCAAGTGACAGGGGTCGCAGTGAGGGGGGGGCCGGCGGGGGTGGTGGTGGCGGCGGGGGCGGCGGCACAGTACCTCAACCGGTAATCCGCCGATGGGCGTCCTTGCAGGTGGGGGGGATGGGGTAGGGGTGTGTGGTGTAGCCCCGGAGGATATGCGGCCCGGGGCCTTGTTCGTTAATCCCGCACATACCGCACGCACCGCCTACAGCCACAGCTGCGCTGCATGGCCTTGGCTTGGTCCCTGGCCTTCACCTGGCCGTCACCCCCTTGGGCCCCCTTTCACAGGACCTGGCTGGCCACCACAGGGCGCTGAACGCGTTGCTCCCACAAATGGT